GAGGAGAGGAGAGGAGAGGAGAGGAGAGGAGAGGAGAGGAGAGGAGAGGAGAGGAGAGGAGAGGAGAGGAGAGGAGAGGAGAGAAGAAGGGAAGTAGAGGCTGACCGTGAGCACCTGGAAAGTGGGGAAGGGAAGGTGGAAGGGGTAAAAGGACAGAGGAATCAAGAGATCAAGAGAGCAAGAGCAAGAGAGAACACATACAGCATTGTTAAAGAATAAAATTTAAAATGTTTAAATCAGTATGAATATACTATGGTATATTAGTAGTAACACATGATCATTAAAGTTAAACCTAACCATTAATGGACAAGCATGGAGATTTTCAGATATTGGAGAAGAGTTATTAAACATTTTTCCTACGAATGATTCAGCTGGCAATGAAATGTCTGTCAATATCAAGTTTATTTTTTCCCTACTGACATAAACATAGCACATAGCTGTGTTATTGACCCAAACATGTCCTTTTAAATGCTGAGCTCCCGAGATTCCTCAAAAACTAGATACATTCATGTCAACTGTATCAGCTAACACGGAACAAGTACAATTAACAGCATCAGTTTAGATGTCTCTTTTAGGTTAATTTTTATTTTCCTCATTGCAAGCAAGCAAACAGACAGATTGCTGCTCTCTATGTCTGCTCCCCACTACCCTTCTGCTTGATACTACTCTTGAAAAGACTATGATGTCTTTCAGTACTCTGATCCTGGACGAATATAAGTAGTTAGCTGATATAAATGAATTAGAACAGGTAACCTAGAACCAAGCACAGACAAGTTTAGGCTGAGAAAACTGACAAGATTTTAATCACGAAGCTATTAAAGAGAAATGCTTACTTGCTACATGCCGCTATGAGATTATGGTTACTGGTTATGGTCTATTATCCCAGGAACAGCAGATTGAGACAATAAGCTAGAGTCAAGCCATATGCATATTTAATTGGGCAAATATAATAATAATGCAGTAAATCTGTTTGCTGGAACCACAAGGGGTCTGTATTTAGCAATACTATTAGTCGCACATGTTTTAGCAAAATTATCTTCCATTTCTGTTTTCTTAGTTGTAAATGAAGAACAATAATGGTGTATTTTTGATAAAACAAGATGATATACCTCAAAGCCTGCTCTCACAGTAACATACTTCATCCATTTGGCCACGCCTACTCAAATAAGGCCACAACACCTAATAATGCTACTCCCTGTGCTCAAACATTCAAACGTGAGTCTATGGGGCCAAACCTGTACAAACCATCACAGTTACTATGACTCTTTCTTTGATTGTCTCGTAGTTCATCCAGCTCCAATAGTGATAAAGATAAAGAATTCAGCATGGAAAGATAGTATAGAGGAATCCACTGTGCCCAATATTGCAAAAACTGGGAACAACACAGAAGACTATCTCCTGGTGGTTCAAAAGTGAGCTCAACAATATACTTAAAATAGCCAAAAAAACAAGTGTTATAAGGATGTCTATACTGATTACAGCAGACCTGTGGGCAAATCACAGTGTATTTGTGCAAATCAAAGCACAACACTTCATGGGAGTGAAGGACTGTGTTTATAACAATCAGAGATCTCTTGTTGGCCAAGAAGGTGTTATGGAGTTTTTTGTTTTGTTTTGTTTTTTGGACCCCTGGGAAAATACCATAGAGTCAATTAAATCATAATTAAAAGATTTATTGATTATCTGCTAGCTGGGTATTAGCCTTAAAGCCCAATCTCAGACATGTTGTCAGTAGTGGTATGGGGAAGAGTTTCTTAAAGGCAAAACCACAAGATCTTCAATATTTATGCAAGCAATCAAACACTGGTCTGTCCTGTCAAGCTTATATGGGTAAGGCAAAGCAATCTTTGGGTATCTGCATAAGCAAATTACACAATTAAAAAAACAGCTAGTCATATCATTATGTCATGACTAACATGACATGTCAATGACTTTGCATTTCTGCATGTGGTCACTGAGTCAAGATTACTGGGAACTTATCTTCAAGGGACTGGAGTCAGAGACAAATGGCTAGTGGGTACCATCGGATGCTTAGCATAAAATGAAGTTTCGTTAGCCCTCACAAGGAAAATACTTCAACTCTTGCTTAAAAATGGCTGCAAAATTAAGTAGAATTCACAGATACTTGTCTTCCATCATACTGCATTTTAAGACTGGTGCAGGCTGTCTAGAACTTGTCTTCAGCTGTGATTTTAGAGGTTTTCGGTAGCTACTGCAGTGTCCCCAGAGTGATCCTGATAGCTGCCAGGACATGCACTAAATTGCAGCTCCACACCCTTAAACAGCTGACTTAACAGATGTTTGAGAAAGCCTTAAAAATCTGTTTACAATAAAGACTGAAAAAAAGCTTAAGAAAGAACTAGCCATATTTATACACAACCCCTGCCCCAATGCCCAGGCAGGAGTCTGTTTTTCCTCAATGTTACTTGATGGTAATCTTAGATAAAGGCAACATTATTCAAATGTAAGAGAACAAAATTTTGAGTTTAATTTCTATAAAGCTGAGTAGGCAGATCACAGCCCCATGAATTTGCTAAGTTAATATGCAAACTTTCCGTCTTCTATAAGTTCAGGGGAAGTTTTGCAGCTTGAGGCAGCCCATAGCAAAAACTAGTAAACAGGGACACTATTTTCTTGATGGTTATATTTCAAAAGGATTATTGTAGGTCCCTGGAAATTGACAAGAGGGTTTTTACAAATATTTACATTTTTAAAGGGAGAGAGCCTGAATAAAAATCTCTACATTTTCTAAAGAAAAGAATTCCAAGAAAAGTCGATATCCTTAAAGCTAGAAAAATCTCTTTAAAGTTTGTAATCCTGAGGGAACTGAGACCCAGTGTTTACTGATTAGATGTAGTTATGAAGTTTGGCATCAAGGAAATTAAATCGAGTTTCCTATTGCTTCCGTTTCTCCACTGGAAAGAACTGACGGCACAACTGTTCATCTTGTTTAGGTTACTCATTCTGGCCTAGCTTTTTCAGTATTGGGCACACTCATGAAAAATTGAAAGCCTAGATTGGACCGCCCAGACTGTCCCACAGCTACGCGTGCGCAATAGGCTCGAACCTCTGACGTCACTGAGCGCAGCCCGCCCCTACATATTAGCAACCGGAGGCGTCCGTAGCAGCAGTGGCTGCGGAGATGTACGAACTTCCGGTTGTCCCGGCAGGCCGCCGCTGCCGCCGCCGAAGCCGCCCGGCGCAGTCTCAGCCACCCGCTCTCCGCCAGAGAGTCGGCTCTGCGGCTCCGGCGCGCCCATGGTCGGCGCTGCGGACCGGGAGGCCGGCCCGGCGGCTGCGGTGTGCTGAAAGGCCGGCGTGGGGACCATGCCGACCCCGCGCGGCTGCTCCGGGCCTTGTCACTTCCTGGCTCCGGCCTTCGTGCTGCTGTTGCTGCCCGCGCTGAGCGGGTCCGGGGCGGTGCCGTCCACGGGGGCCAGGGAAGTGCAGGGGTACAAGCCTCTCGAGCCCGGGCCGCGTACGCTGTCGCCGCTGCCTCCGGGCCCCACCGCGGCCCAGCCGCGGGGTCAAGCTCAGGCTGATGCCACCGGGCCGCGAGGCGCTGAGAGCCGAAATGGCAGCATCCCTGGGGCGGGGAGTGAGGCGGACGGCCTTGAAGGGAAGGCCGGAGAAGGCTCCCTGGGTGGCAGCCTGGCCGTGAGTCCCAGTCCTAGCGACAAGCCCATGACCCAGCGGGCCCTGACCGTGTTGATGGTGGTGAGCGCCGCGGTGCTCGTGTACTTCGTGGTCAGGACCGTCAGGTGAGGCACAGCCTCGATGGGCAACCCAGCGGCCTAGAGCTGTCTGACAGGTGACCTGCTCCATGAAGCAGGGAGAATGTCTGTGACTCATTCCCTTCCCCTGCTTCCAACATCAGGGGCTGGAATCTAAGACCATTTGGTTGGCTGTCTTAATGGCTTGTGTTCCCTTAGCTGGTGACACAAGCTGTTGCCTTTTATTTATAAATCAGTAACCTACCTTCAGCATCTTGCTCTGTGAGTCTTGCCTCTTGCCTTAACTTACCCTGAAGTGGAAGTGCTCTCCCATCCCCTGGAATTTTGATTACACTGCTGTGCAATACTTCCCTTAATACTCTGCATCTGGTGTAACTAACAAGTTAGCGTTTTGCCTTTTAGAATGCACTCCTATTTGTGAATCAGAGTACCATAAAAGTAGCGTAGAAAGTCCTGATGAGTGTTTCGCTTTTGGAAAACTTGCCAATTGTGTTTCTTAGATGGTGCCCTTAATCTGCCCCTAAGTAAGTTGTCCTCAATTAATTGGATACTACATGTCTGGACAGGTGTTAAATGGAGGAAGACCCCACCAAAAGGGGCTAGCCAAGAGAACAGCTGTGGAAAAGCTAATGGTTTCCTTTTCCCTGAAGTAAGAGCAGTAGATGGTATTTGTTAGATTTGTACTGGTTTGTTTATTTCCTGTTTTCCAGATTACTTCACACTTTCCCATAACTACACACTACCATTATTTAATGTCTTTAAATCCTCAAAACGAAATTTAGTTTTTTAAAAGATTACTTGAGAATGGAAAGCCAACATGATGTGTCTTAAGTGGTTGATCAAAAACGTACAGTGTTTCTGACTATGAGGCCCAAAATCTTACAGAATTTGTTTCTTTTACACATACTACTTAGCTACAGTTTTACAACTGTTTTCTAAATGATACATTCTCTTACAAATGTATACAATACAAAGTATTTACTGGGAAGGATTGAAATTCTAAATTAAAACTGATATTAAGAAAATAGATCCTGTCAAATTTTAGTATTGTATATGTTCTTTAAAAAGAATCAGAAAAGGGTATTAAATTGCCCTCATCTTTTTCAAGTTAATGTTTTTGAGGTTGGATTCTTTTTTGTATTACAAATGATTGGATGCAGACACAAATTTGAAAATTTAGGGTTTTTTCCCCAGTTTTTATTTTTTACACACGGTTTAAGCCAAATGTTAAATAGATTTTGAAGGAAAAAAAAGCCATTCTTTTTACTATTTTTGTTTTTATGAGCAGCTAACTTAAGAGTTAAGTTTTAAAATCAAGTATTTAATCTGTTCAGATTTCATTGATAAGTTAGAATCCACATATATCCACATATGTAGCCCCCTGGAGCCCTTAATACGTTTTAAGAATGTAAAGGGATGCAAAGCGTTTGAAAGCCCCTCACATAAGCAATATCATTGAGCTAGAAACCGATGATTTACAAAGTTCAGAAAATCCACACCTACTTTGTCATTGGGAAGTTAGATAGTGTTCAGAAGTTATTAAAAGCTTTTGACCACCAAAGTGGGACTTCTTGATGCTAAGAAATTTTAAGGGAAAATTAAATCATTCTTACTATGCAATTTTTATTTCATACTGTGCATAATTATTATCCTTGATTCATAGAAAGCATGATTATACTGATCATTTTCTTGATATGCTTCTTATTTCTGCCTTTTTATCTTTGTTTCTCCTTATTTGGAATCTTCTATACAAACGGTTACTATCCTTGCTTTTCTGTGTTCATTTCCGTACACCTTGAAAGAACTCAGCCTCTTCTGATTCTCAGATGATTCTGTGTCATACTGTATGAGAAGAGCCAGATTCAGAATGGTGGTACACTGATACAAACTGTACACTCCAGGCAGCATCTAACACATTGGTGTAGTCCAAGTTCTGCATTTAGTTGGCTGTCTAGCATCCAAAGCATGATTGATGCTGACTAAATCCAGGCGTACCCAGAACTCAGCTTCTTTACTTCCAGATTGTGCTCTTTATCCTCATTATGGTGGTTGCTCATTTTGGAGCCTTTCCCAAAAATATGTGCGACAGAGAACCAGAGCTGCTTATTTGTGCCAAGGAAGTACATTCCCAGTTCATGTCTATAGCTGATGATATGGGGCGAAACATTATTTTCATTGTGTAATTTTATTATATCCAACTCTATGAGTCATTGAAAATGTTTTGTCTTAGTCTAACTCGGCATCACAAATATTTGGCTAGAAATAACTTTTTCTGGTAGTATAGAATTATTCCAAGCATTGACATTCTCTCTGTAGAGGAACTTGAGTACATCACTGGAGTGCTGTAGGAACAAAGTGAACACCATATGATGAATACAGCCTCCCTCTGAAAATGCTTCTTCTCTGTTCTGGTCTTTCCTCTGTGCCCACTGCTAAACTTTGTAGCTCTGTGCACAGTATCTAGACAGCCTAGTGTTGCTTGATGGATGGGCCTTGGTTCATACTTTATGTTGCTCAGTAGGTAAGTGGTGAGGATTAGAAACTTAAAGGGTAATTGCTACTTGGTGATAGAACAAAGAAATACTCAATTACTATTTCATTTCTTTTTCTTTGTAGGAATTTCCTTCCTATAGTAAACTATGTAAGGCCAGAAAGCAGTTATAGAGGGTATTACAATTTTAAGGGTATATGTTGACTATAAAAAAATGTTTCTATTATAAACTTATGATTAATTGTTCTTGTTTTAAAGCAAACATCCTTTTTTTTTTCTGTCATGCTGTGTCATGTTTATTCATGTGATGCATCTACTCTTTCTTCTTTAGGAAGTTTCTTGACTTCTCCAGAACTCTATGAAATAGATAAAGAATCTTTGAAGTGGTGGCAGTGGGCAACAGTTTACAATTGATTGTCCTCATTCAGCCAGTCAGTATTTATTCAGCTGCTCACACTGGGCAATCACAGTATCATTTTCAAGTAAATCAGCATTACTGCCCCCTTAGCACTCACAGCCTGGAAGAGCACAGGGACATTCATCAGACAGTACACAGATAATTAAAAAGTGCAGCCCCTACTCACTGTCTCCCTCACTGCTAATGGTTCCTATTTACCTTTCCATCTTGGCTTCTTTGGATGATAGAGAACATATATATGTACAATTATTATAACACAGTTAAAAATAAAATTATAAAAATTATGTCTGGGTCCTATTAATACTTAGCATACAGAAATTGCACAGGATTAATATAATTGTTACCATTTACTGGAAACTTTAAAGCTAATATGAGGCTTCTTTCAAAGAACTCGACTTTGTAACTAAAACACTTACTTTCGCGATTTTACCTGTCATATGCATAAACTAATAAGAATTAATTGTTGATTTATGTGTGTCATATACCATATCACATAATATGAGTACATTTTCTATTTTAATTCTTGCAGAAATCCTCAAAGTAGGTGATATTCTTCTGAAGGCAGGTGAGCCTGCACAGAGTTAAGTGGTTTGTGTGGAGCACATACATAGGACCTGCAAACCCAGCTCTGCCTGAGCCTAACATATGCCATGATTATGGTCCCTTTTAACAAATACACTTTATTTAGAGTGAGAGTGTACATGAAAATGGCCAGCTGATTTATGATAAAAACTGAAGTTGGTAATGTTTCTGTGTAAAATATGAGCTTTGGTGAATATTTACTTTTTAAAACTTTACAAATTGAAAAAGTAAGACAACTTTAGAATTTATCGATATTCATTACTGTGCTAAACTGAAAATAATTTAGTATGCTATGTTAAGCCTACATTCCATCCTTCAAAGATGTTCTTGGTTTGCTAGATATAATCAGAGAATAGCTGTATTTTAAAGCAGCTACTACTGTTATACACTGTCTTGTTCTTCTGATTCTTTTTTATGTCTGTCTGCCTATCTATCTATTATCTATCTATCTATCTGTCTATCTATCTATCTATCTATCTATCTACCTATCTACTTATTTTGAGTCTCACTATGCCACCGTAGATGGCCTAGTACTTGGTATGTAGAGCAAGACAGTGTTAAACTTGGAGACGTATCTACCTCTGCCTCTTGTGGAATTAAAAGTGTGTGCTGCCATGCCCAGCTTCTTACCTGCTTCGTAAGAATATGAGTTACTGAATGAGTTTCACCACCAATGATAAAATTAAGTCATTGATGGAGATTCAATTTATACAGTGATAAAAATAGAAAGCTTTCATAGTTATTTATATCCATTAGTCACTGCCATTAATTTAGTAAGTACTGCTGAGTCTCTGTCGGTACTAGGCCTTGTAATAAGAACTAGCAGTAGGTAAGATGAGAAGTTCTACATTTTTAATGCATCAATTTTTAGATATCCTTTGAAAGTGTCATTTGTGCTCTGATTTTGTATCAAGAGAGATGAAGTGCATTAAAATATATTTAACAAGTGTGACTCCTCAAAAAATTGTATTTTTTTTTGAGGGATGAAACTTTCCCAAATGCATATTGTGAAATAATACAGTGAGAAATATGCTGTGTGGCTTTCTCTCAGGATGTCAAAATATGACCAGGAGTGGTGATATCATACAGGAAGAAGCACAGTGCTTCTTCCCAAATATTTAGCAAAGTAAGTAGGCCTGAGCAGACTTAGAATGTAAATTCTTGACTAGGAAAAATAGTAGTGATTTCATTGAGCTTTTCAGCAGAAATATCCTTTCTCACTCTTCTCTCCCTATAAAACAGGAAGGAAGGAAGGAAGGAAGGAAGGAAGGAAGGAAGGAAGGAAGGAGGGAGGGAGGAAGGGAGGGAGGGAGGGAGGGAGGGAGGGAGGGAGGGAGGGAGGGAAGGAGGGAAGGAAGGAAGGGAGGGAGGGAAGGAAGGAAAGGTAGGGAGGGAGGACGACAATACTGGCTAAGTGATGGAATTTCCTAGAATTTTGAGATATCAAGCAGTCAAAAGAAAGAAAAGAAGAAAACAGAACATGTTGAAGATATGAGCAGCGAGGAGGCTGCCTTCCCAGCAGGCTACACTGAAATG